GAGCCGGGCCGGGAGCGCTCGCCAGCCACGAGGACCGGGCAGGGTTTCTCCGTGGCGCTGGCCGGTTTCCGACCGTCGCGTCTTCTGAAGCCAGCGTCCCGGGGAAGGAGTTTACGCAGCCCCGGCAAACCAGAGCTTATCGACTCACCTCAGGCGAAACGCTCCAACCAAAGAACGCGACCCTGTGCTACTACGGCTTCCCGCCGCCACCTGACAAGCCAGCAACGCTTTTCTTAAAAAAGCATTTTCTGCACAGAAGGGTTGAAACAGCGCTCTACAGCGACCTGCGCTCAAGAGAATTAGGAACGTGGATAAATGCTGCAGACATCAGTAGTTTATTGGTATGTTTAGTCAAAACACATTCAGAATGGAAACTTAAAAGTAAAAATACTTTCCACCTGCAACAATTGAACTAGAATCTACTAGCATATAATGCTTGACACGTTACAGCAATAAAGATGGGAATCCACTGTCTCGTATACCTACTAAAGCCAAGATGGTCAGCCACGTTTGTTGCAATAGAACCGTAATGACAGAATACTCCCACCATCCACAAACCAGCAACTAACAGTAATGGTCAGCGAATCCCTTCCTTTCCTCCAAGAGGTACATTTACTATCAAGAGGGTTGAGAACACGTAAGAGTCCACAGTACAGCAGGTGAGCTATCACCATGTAAACTTCTCCGGATGACGTTCCAGCGGCCGCTCACGTCACTTACACAAGAAGCGAACCGGAATGCGGAATGGCTCAGTAGCTCTTTTTTAATACTCTGGGTTTTGTTGCGGAGATTATTCCCGGTGCCGTTTGCCATACAAAGGAATTAGGTGGCGGCGAGACACCACAGCACTACAAAAGGGGTTGAGGGGGGGGAAGGGGCTAGGCAAAACACACTGGTGGCAAACTGCTGACCGATGACAGCGATTTGTCCGAAGGCTTCGAACCCAAGCGGTCTTGTCGTGTGGCGAGCAGTTCAAGTACTACAGATTTCCAGGTAAGAGCTGAAAATGCAAGACCTTCAACAAAAAACTGAAATATGAAAATGAACACGGGAAGAAATGTGCCCCGAAAAAAAAAAAAGTGTATGAAAATAGTGCAAGACTTACCATCGAACACAGAAGACCTCGAGCTGGGAGAAAACGGACAGATGCCACTTCACTTTGCCTAACGCGTCAGGAAAGTATGTGCAAAATCTTCCAACTTACTCGAAAACAGCAAATGATTGCATAATCCAGAGACAGATTGCTGTGATGCCCTATCTGCTTTTGCTTGAAATTGCAATTATTTTATTTGAGGTCTTCCGTGCTTAGAAGCAGCTTTAAGCGGTCACGCTTTCACACGCACGCGCACGCAAACACACCCCCTTTTACTCCCGACGCCTCGGAGCCCGGCGCTTGCTGCACGGCCGGCATCCAGCCGGACGGCGCCGTCTGCCGCAGCTGCCGTTTACGGAACGCGCTCCAGAATGTCATCCAGAAACAGACCTCTCCACCGGGAAAACCCGCCAGGCGAGCCGGAGAAGAGGATGTTTCCTTTCATCCCTTCAGTCCGGAGTCACCCAAGCGTCAACTTCAGCTGAGAGCTATGTGCAAAACGAGTAAGAGTTTTTTTCAAAAAGCGGAACCGGAAAATGCAAATACTTAAGAGCTGCTGTTTCGTTCTCTGAAAATTGCAGTATCCTCGTTTGATAAGCTCACCCTCGCAAAGGATGCTCAGTTCTACCGATTACGAGCTGGCCAAAAGCGTTCACCGTTCTTGACTGACTTGCGAAATTCACGCCCGAGAGAGATTTCAACTCCGTTTTCTTTAACTTTGACACTGATTAAAGAGAAGAGACAGCCTGGAGACTACTTGGGTGCCTTCTTCCTCCCTTCCCCCCCTCTGCAAAAAAACAGGCGAGCTTGTTAATTGAAGAGCAAGGTGGATGATAATTTTAGCAACGTTTACTGATTGAAAGATACTGCAATTTTTTTTAATACAATTTTTCCATGATTTCCTTTAAATGCTTTGCAGCCTATTGGCTTTGCAGCACAGTAATTCATACACTATACTGTACAAAATCACCAGCAAGACTGGAATGATGTATTCATAGAAGGCACCATCATGCTTATTACATTACCAGAGAACTCAAATACAGTCAAGACAAATTTCACTGTACAATGCTTATCGAAGGGGAAAGGGGAAGGAGGAGTGTGTTGAGCAGCCATCCCTGTACTGAAGAGGGGCAGATAGAAAAATCTGACGTGAGCTTGTTGCATACTCAGGGCTACGACTTTGAAACTCTGGGTTCTGGTTAGTTTACAGCTAAATGGATTCCTTCTGGAATAAACGTGTAGTCTTATTAAGGTTTGTGTGTGTACATAGGTCGGTCACTGCAAGCAGATCGGACGCCCGCATCATTTCACAAGCTATTCTGTCTGAATAAGAGGATGAAGGTTTTTCTCCTCCGATGCCTCCTGCAGATGTCAATATAAATGAGTTCAGAGTACCCATTAGTGCATTTTGATGAGTGCGTAAACACGAGTTTGTCTGGAGCCGAGTGTTCTAAGGAAAAAAAAAAAAAAGGCAAGCTTCTCCAATTGCACAAATTGCACTATTTGTGTTTCCAACAGTAATAGGCAGAAACAGTAACACTCACACAAAATGTGCAGCAGAGGGTTTTTGACTGAAAGGACCTGAATTCTACTGGGCATGTCCTGTAGTTCACTTTTGTTGCAGATAGTTAACCGGTCTTTTTTTTTTTTTTTTTTTTTTCCAGTCCTCAATTCTCCAAGTCTACATTTATAAATTAACAGTGTGACTCCTGTTGTGAAACTGGGGAAAGAACGTCCACCTCAATTTAAACCGGAAACCAAAGGATGCTTTCACATCAAAGAAATGATCAGAAGGGCTGTGTCACATTCCAAAGCCAAAAAAAATTAACAAGAATGCAAACACGATGGATAATGTACCACTGCCAAGACTGTCTGCCCACAGTGGAGATTTCAGCGACGCTGTCCGGTGAAACGGCCTTCCATTTGCCCGGTTCCTCGTCCAGAGCCGAGTTTCTGCGCCATGCCACCTCTCGGAGGGGGTCCTCTTCCGTCACGGTCTCGCATCATGCCACCACCCACTATTCCACGGGGACCCCCGGGGCCTCTATCATTGCGACGAATATCCCTACGATCATCGCCTCCACCTCGGGTCTCTCTTTCACGAGCGGCTCTTGTTTTTTTCTCTTCTACGTTCAAGCGCACCTCACCCCGGAACATAATAGGCTTATAGGGAAAAGTGTTCAAGGCACACGTTAGTCACCGTTCCGCAAAGGCCAGTTATACAAGGCACATGAAAACACCGCATTCGCTGCATGCCTCAGCCTACCTTCGCTTACGTGCGAGAGGCAAAAATAAACCGTTACTGGTTCCCTGTGGCACCCAAGCGTAGCCCTACGGGTCTAAGGTAACGGAACAGCCTTTTAAAATTCATTTGGCATGCAAGGAATTGAAATGTCTTTCTCAATTAAGGGCAGGGTTGTCTTTAGCCTCTTTACTGCCGGCTTTAGCCTGTTCACTTCAGGGCTAAAGCTCCTGAAGAACTGCTCTACCGGGTCTCGCTCCCACGTACTGGAAATGAAAACTGCCGCTTTCTCCTCTCCAATTCCTCAAGTCGCCACCGCAAATAACCTCGTTCCCTTTTCTCAGCCCCAGGATGCACAATTCAGAGATCCAGGCGGTGCCCTTCAAAAGGTTACGTACTCGACTTTCAGCTTAAAAGGATCTCTAAAAGCAAGTGCCGAGCTCCACATGGTGTCTACGGGCAGAGGTAAAAAACCTGAATTCGGTGTGACGCGGTTTGAGGAGCGCTGGCACAGCTTTTGTAAGCTACGGAACACCCCTGGCAGAACGAGCATGCCAGAACTATATTTTTCTTACAACTGTCGTTTGAATGCCAGAAACAACAGCGACGCACACCGGGACGGCCCGCGCTGCCTGGGGCTTAGAGCATTCAGTCGATGCCAATACTTACTTTCGCAACTAAAATTCGCTGGACCGGCTCGGAATCGTCAAATACCACAAAACCAAAATTAGGCAGTTTTCCTCCCACTCCTTTAGTATTTATGCGAAGTTCTACCACGTTCCCGAAGCCTGGAAAGGGAAAAGCCATGTTATCAAAACCCACAGTGCCGGCTCTACCATCCCTCCGCTTGTCCCAGACGACACCCGTAGTCTTTCATCACGGAAAAGTTCCCCTGTGCGGCCCTACGGGAACGCTAGGTGACTTTTCAACGCGGTTCTTCCTCTTGGTCTCCGCAGCTGAAATTGCTACTTACTCATGAAGAACTCTTTCAGTTCGCTCTCATCGATATCATGCGGCAAGTTCCCAACGAAGAGCTGGTGGCTGTCCGGATAGCGAATTATTCGACGATTATCCGACTCATTCTGTTCCATGTCCCCCCTCCCTGTCGTCAACAGAAAGAAGAAGGCAGAGCCGCTGAGGTTAGAAGACGCGCGCGGATTCGGATGAACACGTCTACCGACAGCACCAAGCACGTTTGCTCAAACAATCCTGTACCTCTTGAGCTTACGTTTACCGCGGGTGACAGCGCGGGGAGATGCTCTCTTCCTCTTTAGAGAGTCCTGACAATTTTGTAATCATACCACAAAGTATTTGTTTTCTTTTCATCTGGTTTCCCTGGTTAGGTCAAATAAATCCACCTTAACTAAAACATCTGGCATACTGGGCAAGTTTGTTTATAAAGTTCTTGTTCCATCTTAAATGACTATACTGAAGAGGAGCTCAGTATCTCTTAAAAGGATTCTTTTTTTAAGATGTGGATTTAAATCACCCCTTCATCGCTTCCTTAGCGCAGTAACAATATCCTTACTCGGGCACTCATGTCACAAACAATGTTTGCTGTCTCACACCTCTTCTGGCTTCCATCTTCCACCGTTTTGTCCAAAGTACAGGTAAGAGTTCCCCACGTTCTCTCCAGCCCAACTGAACCGTTAGTTAGCATGCTTGGCAGCGTGCGAGATAAAATCTTTCCCGGTATCTCCCTACTAAATTGTTACCCGCCTGGCAGCGTGACAGCAGCACCGTTGCCCCCTTTGTACCTGAAGTATTACGGCGTAGGTACGTACCCGTTTCTCTCCTCGGCTTCCCCTACCAGCCCTTTTACAGCAAGCTTGCTAGCTCCTTTGAAAGGTTTCCTTAAGCAGGTAAACCAGGTGGCTGACTTCCTTCGAAAATAAGACCGTAGGGCTGAAGCTCTACCGTTTGGTCAACTGAGATGTCAGCTTTTTCCCTCGTGCCTCTGCTACCCCCCCGCCCAGTGCTGAGATCAGAATTAAAGGCCTCGGGCTCTGATACATGTTTTCTGTATGACTTCTATTACATCCAAGAGTAGTAACGATGCAGATTTGAAACTTGATCTAGCCACAAGTCGTGGCGCCTGCTCCCTGCTGCAGACGACGCGTTAAAGAAAGGAGAAATGTTAACCTGCAGCAGACGTGACGGTTCTTTCTCGGTGCCTTAAATCCTTCCAGTTTCAGCGCCGTCCCCGAGCGATCAAAGCCAAAAGCACGTTTAAGCCCAACCCGTACCCCAGTTTGGTGCGCACTTAGCGAAACCTTCCCCGGAACCAATTTCAGCTGGAGTCGGTGGAGATGCTTACTGTCTCTGAGACTTAACCGCTTCTGCAGGCAGCGCTCTGCCCGCTCCACACTACCACTAAGGGTGATCGCCAAGACCGCCCCTCCCCGTAAGACTCCTGACTGATTTTCACACTTAGGGAAGACGCGAACTGATCAACGTGCCGTAACTCTGGGCCTTTGAGCAGACAGCTTTTGCCCAGCGCTGCGCCGAGGTTTGCCAAGCGACCGGGCTGGACCGATGAACGCAACTCAGAAGGCGCTCGCGTCTCAACACCGCTGCTGACGGCCGTCGAGTAACGTGCACGTTTCCTAGCCAGAGCACCCTATGGATTTGGATAATCTGTATGAGTAACAAAATGCGGAGAGCGGGCTGCTCGTAAACCGAGACCAACGTGAGGCAACCAAACCGAAAACAGTATTTAAGACAATTACACGAGATGGAAAAATATGTATAAAATTATTAACTGACTGAGGCTGACACGGTGGGAAGGTTTTCTTCCAAATTTCTCTCTCTTGAGAGAGAGCTCTCGCTTCCAAGGTCCAGCAAAATGAGAGGTCATGGACAGAATCAGCTTTTGAGAACCACATCAAGCCACATGAAAAGGGCTTAAGCATATAAGCAAGTGGCCTATTAAAAAACATTTCAGCAAAACAGAAGCTTGGAAATGATGCCTGATCTTTGCAACAGCTCATCGCCAGCTTGGACTCCGAATCAGATTCCCCCATTTCTAGTGGAAGGCACTAGGAACAAGGAGTGCATGACCAGCCAGATACAATACCGGTGCAGACAAGACCCGTCCAGGAGACGCCTCTCGTTAACTAGTCCCAAGCAGACACACAAGCTGATCCACGTTACCTGGTCGAGGTCCTCGGGGGGGAAAACCCGGTCTTTCCCTGGGACGCTGTTCACGTACACGAGGAGGCTGAGACTGAGCTTCAGGTTTAGTTTCAACTCTTGGCTAAAACAGGAGGAGAACATGCATTGTTAAACACGGGCCTGGTAAAAAAACCCCAAACCCCCAAAACTCACCAAAACCAAAAAACCCCACAACACAAGACAGAGATCAGTGGCATGCACAAATCAAACTCCAAAAGATATACATCCATGTCAATGTGTTTGGGAATATGTTTTTTTCACCTCTATAAATTCCTCTGTACCAATCCAGGACTGCAGTGTTCAGTTATCTCTGCTAAAAGGGGCAAAGCAAACGTCCCTCAATCAGAGCGTCTCCCCAAAACATGGCTAAGGTGGGTTTTCCACGTTTGACCAGGCATTGAGACCCCCAACGCTCCGTTATTCAAGAACACCTCAACCTGACAAAACCCCATACAGATCAAATTAAGCTTCCTCATGCCAAGCTCAAACTTCACGGATTAGGAGGTAGTCTGAGACGAACACGAAGGGAGGGGCAAATCACATTTTCTGTCCGAGTCCCTGAGGGATTCTTTTCTTCGAGTGCAGAACAACTCTAAGGAAACTACCAAAAAGAAAGAGGAGAACAAAAGCCCTCAGAAGTGTAGTAAGTATTTCTGATGCCATAACGCCACCTGAAATGACAATTTCTGCAGACTACCTGCTGAGGATACTCTTCAACTTCCCTGATGTCAAGACCATGATGCTCAAAGTACACCCTTCGTATTCTCAGGAACTAGAACACCTATTTCATTTTTGCAAGCAAAAAATGCTTTTAAAGATAATTTGAGGAAAAGTGACAGAATAACAAAAAGTATTTCTATGCAGCCTGTTGCTTACTGAAGCAAATTCCAAGGTTTTTTAAATTCCATTTTCTGTATAAGAGTCCAGCAGCTGCTGCTGTGCTGGGTTCTTATCTTCAAAAACCAAAATTATCCTTAGGAGCATAAAGAACACTAGCTTCTGAGGAAGATTAAACACAAGGACAACGGCTATAGGCCCAGACTGCTGAGGAGATGTAGTTTATGTTAAACATCTCCCTTATTTTCCTTTGAGGACTCAAGACAACTGACGGTTCCGGCCAGAGGGAACCTCACAGGGGTAAGACGACTGTATTTTACATGAAACATGCAGGCATTACGCACCAAATAAATGTTTCAGCCCTCCTATCGCTCGTGCTCTACCCAGCTAGGCATTAGCTTGTCCTTCCAACATTTTGAGGACCATTTTTTTCAATTCCAAGAATAAGCCACAAAAATCAGCCTTCCCGTTAAATCTCTTTCCGTTATGTCCCCTCATGGGTCACTGCAGCTCCCCTGCCACCTTCTACTCGCACATCTTTACTGCACCGTAAAGTGTACCTCAAAAGCGAAACTCAATACGATCAGACCCCCATTTCTCACGTACTTCTGGCCGTCAGGCTTAAACGCTCAGTCCTTCCGTCAACCACAGCAAAGACCCGCTAAGTCACCGATATCCTTCTATTAAATCCCGAATAACAGGTAACCCGCTTGCTTCACGTTCCACTGAACGTCTCGTCTAGCACGCAAATGCTCCCTGTCTAGCCAACAACAAGCAGCTGGCCTCATTAGCTGCTTCCTAATCAGCAGCACCCTTTTTGCAGAGGAAGGCTGTCCCGGCGCTCGCTGGCGCTGCCTGAAGAGAAAAGCACTTGTGCAAGACTGCGCTCCCCCGGACCGCTGCGATCAGCAGCGGCATCACAAGATGCCTATTAAGGGCTGCCATTTACAGTCCGAGCGGCAGCTAACGGCAACTCTCATCTCACAGAGACCACGCAAAGTGGACTGAAAGGCAGGGAAGGAGGGTTTCAACAGACGACGACCGAAGGAGCCTTCGGCCCGTGAGGCGGCCTGAAGAAACTTCAAGAACAATTAAGGAAAAGGTGACGTTGTCTCTTCTCTCCAGGAGCTCACACGCGGAAGGAAAGGGACCTCTTTCTGCTACGGCAATGCTGCTGGCAACGACGGCAAACCCAGTCGCAAGCTGGCCTTTACTCGCCAACTTTGGAACCGATGGGACAGAAAGAGCAAGAGAACACCTATTTCATTTTTGCAAGCAAAAAATGCTTTTAAAGATAATTTGAGGAAAAGTGACAGAACAACAAAAAGTATTTCTACGCAGCCTGTTGGCTACTGAAGCAACTTGCAAGGTTTTTTAAATTCCATTTTCTGTCAGCGACAGCTGATGTGTTAATGCAAAAGGGGGGGTCAGAATACCTGAAAATCCTATAAAGAGAAGGCCTGATTTACCAGTGGAGGCAGGTGGACTGAATGGCCCACAAGAAGAAAAAGAGCAAGAAATGCTGACCTGTTTAACTCCACAGCTGTAAATAAACAAGAACCGAACTGGTTTATATCCACAACAGCCCTTCGAGTGGTGCCGAGTCACTGCTACAGAGGCTATATTTTTCACTCCGTGAAAGATGTGGGAAGAAGTGGAGCGATGCAGAGAAAGCAACGGGAAGGACAGGAAACAGCCACTTTGCAACATCACTGATGCTGGCTAGAACAGCACCCCAGAGGAGCCACCCACCCTCCAGTGCTACCTACGGCCCTCGTCTCCACGCACAGCATCTGGCATTAACGGATGCAAGAGAACGGGAAAAAGCTGCTACTGATCCGTAACCCCTTGAAGAAATTGTTCAGATGCCTTTTCTACGAGCTTTCTGTATACCGTGTCTGAAAAGCGTGCAAGCAAAGCAGCTGAGAACTGACTAATGCTGTCTCCAGAAGAGCTGAGAGTTGAAATTCTTGCCACTTCAGTATTGTTCAGAAACTTCCACGCAGAAATTACTCAAACGTGAAGTCACAGCAAAAGTAATCCAAAAGGCAGAAAGTGCCACAAGCTGCGGAGGCAACGCGAAAGACTTTAAGGGGACATCTATAAGCCGCATTCTGCTCTCTTGTACAGATAATTTTAAATAATTTTTGCGGTCCTATTACAAAAATCCACCCTCTCTACTACAAATCAATCAAAAGCAATTTTGGTTTTGCATAAGGAAAATCTATTCTGTACTAGAAAAAACAACGTTTTTACGGCTCAAATACCCCCTAAATGCTGAAAGCCCTGCTGACGCTGATGAAGACAGACAGGCTTCCCAAGTCATTACACAGCCATTATCTGATTTCCAGACAGCCCTGCCAGACCAGAAGCAGCCCCATCCAAGGTGGGGTTTCTTGGGGTGGGTTTCATTTTTTTCCGTTGTCTTTTTTAACACGCATTTGGCCGAAGGGCAATCCTAGACAGGTTCCTCTCTGTCAGTAAAAAACGGAGAAGAAACCAGTGCAAACCCAACAGCTGCAATAACCCAGCTGCTCTACCGAAAACCCAGTCTTTTAAAAGGGTCGGCCACGAGCTACCGCAGCATACGGCGCTTTGGTACGCAGCATCAGTAGAAGAGGTTAAAGCGCACATTTTCTATCTTGAGGATTTTTATTTAGACGGAGGCAGCTGAACTGAGAGTCTCAGACCGTCTCACACCAGCTTGGCATGTGCAGGACACGAGCTATCACCCGGTCAAACTTGCCTTCCTCTTTCCCCTCCTCACCCAGTCACCCCAGGAATGGGAAGACAGCATTGTCCCGGCAAGGAAATGTGAATCCTTCCATTCCTCACACAGTCATAAGTTGGTACAGGGTTCTGTGACAAGTTAATTATAAATGGACAATGAAATCCAGCATATTTCTGCAGATATTTGCCTTCCGAGGCAATCTCGCACCTTCTCGGAAAGGGCGCTGGACGTTTTTACTGCTGGGGCGCTTCCGCCAATGAAACACCCCTTTCAAACAGACTTTAGAGTGCTACCATTTTCTGGGGAGTTGTCTTTTTGTTTTGTTTTCCCTTGTAAATCAAACCGTATCCCATTAAGATAGGTCAAAAAAGCTTCAGCGGTGATTTCCTGTTTCTGCACGAACAGATTTTAACGTCACCACCACCCAAAGTTACGCCTGTTACGTGCCTTCGCTTGCGACAAGAAGGTGAGCGCGTTAACATTCAAGACACAATTAATCTGTGCAATTTAAGTCAAACAAATCGATCTGTTAATTTAAAAAACTGAAGCAGTTTGCAGAAGTAACGAGACAATCCAAGGTGTTCACAGATGGGTTACCTGTGAGACGGGTGCTTTAACATGGGGTGGAATTCCAGAGGAAGAAACAGTACCACTAGGAGGCAGGTTTTTACTGGTCACTGAAGCCCAAGAGAAAGCCTGCAGGAAATGCAACAAACCTAGGCTACTAATCATGGCAAACCACTGACAATCCTACAGGGAAACTCGTCTGCTGAAAATACACTTTCGGTTCATATCTGACTATTAAATAATGGTTGCGCAAGCATTACAACGAAGGTACGGAAGGATTTGTGGGTCTAGCCGTCTGCGGACTCCAAAGGCGTGGAGCAAGCGTGTACCGTGCCCGCTATGGCTACTCGAGTGAGCCCGGTCCCCTCGGCATCCCCAGGTCACTGCTTTCCGGGATGTAACCAAACCTAGGACTGAAAACCCCGTAGTGTGGAGGGTCTTCTGCACAAAGAAAGAAAGTGGATGCCAGAACTTAGAAGTAAAAACGGAAAAGAGAAAAAGGATTGATAAAAAAAAATACGGGAGACAGGCTGGAGCTAGAAAATGACCTCTCTCCAGCTTTCACCGGTTCCTCCCGTCTCTTTCCAGCTACCTACGTGTAACCATACCAGATGACGCACGGCGTGCACGGTGGTTTTTAAGGCTGGGCATCCTGCCTCTAAGGGAGACACTCGATGCCCCCGTATGGATTTGGAGCCTACACTGCCAGCAATTTTGCAAGTGTCAGTGCATTATGGGTTATTTCAAGGAAGAGCAGTGGTTCTCGTTGTACGAGGTTGTCGGTGGTGGTAGCTTGAGGTGCTTTCTTAACATATGTTAACTCCACATTTAAAAAGGTTTACACATGCATAAAACCACACACGCACACTTTACAAGCAGAGCATTACCTTTACCATAAGTGACTCGAGCAGCGCTTAAAAATAACGTTCTTTCCGTTTTTAGTGAAATTTGGCATTTTTACCAGTTCAAAGTTCGAGTCTAGCTGTTCATACAGCATGACACTGAAAAGAGGTACCGGTGCAGCCGCTCAAAAAGGCTAAGTTCAAAACCCAATCTTCTGGTTTACCATCTGCACCTAGGAGCACAGATATGACTTGTAACTAACCTTTGGTGGTTCCTGTGGTAGTGAGACAGGTTCCACAGGAGGTGGAGACGGAGATTTCTCTTCTAGCTCCTCGAGGGTCTTTTCTTCTACTTCAGCTTTCAGCTCCTCGGTTTTCGTTTCAGATTCTAATTCCGGCTCAGGTTCATGAGACGACTCCTCTAGCGCCTCCTCTATCCCATTGCTAAAATAATCAAATGCGTTTTATGCGGCTTATCGATTGCTTTGTATTTTGTGACTGTTTGTAAGCTACGCTACGGTAACGGCCAGTATTAAAAAGATCATTCTGTTTCCAGTTGCTACTGTACGGTACCTACATACACACTACTGTGAGAAGTTAACCCGAACCCCTTAGTTGCATACAAAGCCAGATTTTACTCCCG